GTGAATAGGATCAGTAGAGTTCATTATCGATGGAGAATAGCCTCGACTTGAATTCGTAATCTGTAGCCTCGAAAATCAAAAGAAAATGGCATTTCGGGAAAATCGCAAAAAATCTGTGATGGTACCCCTTTGGAATCTGTTAAAAATTGACCCGGAATAAATCCTTCCAAATTTTTGTTTAATGGACGTAATCTTTGTTGAAGAATAGTGTCAGGCCGAATCCGTGACCTATAGCCTTCAAAATCCAAAGAAAATGGCCTTTTGATGCCCTCAAAATTACGAAAATGCCATCCGAAAATAAATTGACCCAAATCGGTGCTTAATGGACTTATCATCCGCGGAGAATAGGATCATTAGACTTCATTATCGGTGGAGAATAGCCTCGGCCTGAATCCCTGATCTGTAGCCACGAGAATCTAAAGAAAACGACATTTCGTGATCTGTAGCCTTCAAAATCCAAAGAAAATGGCTTTTCGTTGACCAAAAAATTACGAAAAATGCCATCTGAAAATAAATTTGCCAAAATCAGTGCTTAATGGACTTATCAACCATGGTGAATATGATCAATAGACATCATTATCGGTGGAGAATAGCCTCGGCCTGAATCTGAAATCTGTAGCCACGAGAATCAAAAGAAAATGGCATTTCGGGAAAATCGCCCAAAATCTGTGATGGTACCCATTTGGAATCGGTAAAAAATTGACCAGGAATATATCCCCCCCAAATTTTTGTTTAATGGACATAATCGTTGTTCAAGAATAGCCTCAGTCCGAATCCGTGACCTGTAGCCTTCAAAATCCAAAGAAAATGGCCTTTTGCTGTCCTAAATATTACGAAAATGACATCCGAAAATAAATTGGCAAAAATCACTGCTTAAGTGACTTATCAACCGTGATGAATAGGTTCGATAGACTTCATTATCGGTGGAGAATAGCCTCGGCTAGAATCCGTAATCTGTAGCTTCGAGTATCAAAAGAAAATGACATTTCGGGAAAATCGGCAAAAATCTATGATGGGCCCTTCGGAATCTGCCAAAAATTGACCCGGAATAAATCCTCCCAAATTGGTGTTTAATGGACATAATCGTTGTTGAAGAATAGTCTCAGGCCAATCCGTGATCTGTAGCCTTCAAAATCCATAGAAAATGGCTTTTCGATGCCCTAAAAATTACGAAAATGCCATCCAAAAATAAATTGACCCAAATCGGTGGTTAATGGATTTATCATTCGTAGAGAATAAGATCAATAGACTTCATTATCGGTGGAGAATAGCCTCGGCTTGAATTCGTAATCTGTAGCCACGAGAATCAAAAGAAAATGGCTTTTCGGAAAAATCGTCCAAAATCTGTGATGGTAACCCTTTGGAATCTGTTAAAAATTGACCCGGAATAAATCCTCCAAATTTTTTATTTAATGGACGTAATCTTTGTTGAAGAATAGCCTCAGGCCGAATCCGTGACCTGTAGCTTTCAAATTCCAAAGAAAATGGCCTTTTGATGCCCTCAAAATTACGAAAATGCAATCCAAAAATAAATTAACCAAAATCAGTGCTTAATGGACTTATCAACCGTGGTGAATAGGATCAATAGATTTCATTATCGGTGGACAATAGCCTCGGCCTGAATCCGTAATCTGTAGCCTCGAGAATCAAAAGAAAACGGCATTTCGGGAAAATCCCCCAAAATCTGTGATGGTACCCCTTTGGAATCTTTTAAAATTTGACCCGGAATAAATCCTCCCAAATTTTTGTTTAATGGACGTAATCTTTGCTGAGGAATAGCCTCAGGCCGAATCCGTGACCTGTAGCTTTCAAAATCCAAAGAAAATGGCCTTTTGCTACCCTCAAAAATTACGAAAATGCTATTCCAAAAATAAATTGGCCCAAATCGGTGCTTAATGGTCTTATTATCCGTGGAGAATAGGATCAATAGACTTCATTATCGGTGGATAATAGCCTCGGCCTAAATCCGTTATCTGTAGCCTCGAGAATAATTTTTTTTTGGCATTTTGGGAAAATCGTCAAAAATTCTTGATGGTACCCCTTTGGAATCTGTCAAAAATTGAGCAGGAATAAATCCTCCATATTTTTTGTTAAATGGACGTAATCTTTGTTGAAGAATAGCCTCATGTCGAATACGTGACCAATAGCCTTCAAAATCCATAGAAAATGGCTTTTCGCTGCTGTAAAAATTACGAAAATGCCATCCGATAATAAATTTACCCAAATCGGTGGTTAATGGATTTATCATTCGTGGAGAATAAGATCAATAGACTTTATTATCGGTGGAGAATAGCCTCGGCCTGAATCCGTGATCTGTAGCCTTGAGAATCATAAGAAAATGACATTTCGGGAAATCGGCAAAAATCTGTGATGGTACCCCTTTGGAATCTTCCAAAAATTGACCCGGTTTAAATCCTACCAAATTGATGTTTAATGGACGTAATCGTTGTTGAAGAATAGTCTAAGGCCGAATCCGTGACCTATAGCCTTCAAAATCCAAAGAAAATGGCCTTTCGCTGCCCTAAAAATTGCGCAAATGCCATCCGAAAATTTATTGACCCAAATCGGTGCTTAATGGACTTATCATCCGCGGAGAATAGGATCAATAGACTTCATTATCGGTGGAGAATAGCCTCAGCCTGAATCAGTGATCTGTAGCCTCGGGAATCAAAAGAAAATGACATTTCGGGAAAATCGGCAAAAATCTGTGATGGTACCCGTTTAGAATCTGCCAAAAATTGACCCGGAATAAATCCTCCAAAATATTTATTTAATGGACGTAATCTTTGTTGAAGAATAGGCTCTGGCCGAATCCGTGACCTGTAGCGTTCAAATTCCAAAGAAAATGGCCTTTTGCTGCCCTCAAAATTACGAAAATGCAATCCAAAAATAAATTAACCAAAATCAGTGCTTAATGTACTTATCAACTGTGGTGAATAGGATCAATAGAGTTCATTATCGATGGAGAATACCCTCAACTTGAATTCGTCATCTGTAGCCTCGAGAATCAAAAGAAAATGGCATTTCACGAAAATCGCCCAAAATCTGTGATGGTACCCCTTTGGAAGCTGTTAAAAATTGACCCGGAATAAATCCTCCCAATTTTTTGTTTAATGGACGTAATCTTTGTAGAAGAATAGTCCCAGGCTGAATCCGTGACTTATAGCCTTCAAAATCCAAAGAAAATGGCCTTTTGATGCCCTCAAAATTACGAAAATGCCATCCGAAAATAAATTGACCCAAATCGGTGCTTAATGGACTTATCATCCGCGGAGAATAGGATCATTAGACTTCATTATCGGTGGAGAATAGCCTCGGCCTGAATCCGTGATCTGTAGCCTCGAGAATCTAAAGAAAACGACATTTCGGGAAAATCGGCAAAAATCTGTGATGGTACCCCTTTGGAATCTGCCAAAAATTGACCCGGAATAAATCCTCCAAAATATTGATTTAGTGGACGTAATCTTTGTTGAAGAATAGCCTCAGGCCGAATCCGTGACCTGTAGCGTTCAAATTCCAAAGAAAATGGTCTTTTGCTGCCCTCAAAATTACGAAAATGCAATCCAAAAATAAATTAACCAAATCCAGTGCTTAATGGACTTATCAACTGTGGTGAATAGGATAAATAGAGTTCATTATCGACGGATAATAGCCTCGACTTGAATCCGTAATCTGTAGCCTCGAAAATCAAAAGAAAATGGCATTTCGGAAAAATCGCCCAAAATCTGTGATGGTACCCCTTTGGAATCTGTTAAAAATTGACCCGGAATAAATCCTCCCAAATTTTTGTTTAATGGACAAATCTTTGTTGAAGAATAGTCTCAGGCCGAATCCGTGACCTATAGCCTTCAAAATCCAAAGAAAATGGCCTTTTGATGCCCTCAAAATTACGAAAATGCCATCCGAATATAATTTGACCCAAATCGATGCTTAATGGATTTATCATCCGCGGAGAATAAGATCAATAGACTTCATTATCGGTGGAGAATAGCCTCGGCCTGAATCCGTGATCTGTAGCCTCGAGAATCAAAAGAAAATGACATTTCGGGAAAATCGACAATAATCAATGATGGTACCCTTTGGAATCTGTTTAAAATTGACCTGGAATAAATCCTACAAATTTTTGTTAAATGGACGTAATCCTTGTTGAAGAATAGCCTCAGGTCGAATCCGTGATCTATAGCCTTCAAAATCCATAGAAAATGGTGTTTCGCTGCCCTAAAAATTACGAAAATGCCATCCGAAATTAAATTGACCCAAATCGGAGGTTAATGGATTTATCATTCGTGGAGAATAAGATCAATAGACTTTATTATCGGTGGAGAATAGCCTTGGCCTGAATCTGTGATCTGTAGCCTCGATAATCAAAAGAAAATGACATTTCGGGAAAATCGCCCAAAATCTATAATGGTACCCCTTTGGAATCTGTTAAAAATTGACCCGAAATAAATCCTCCCAATTTTTTGTTTAATGGACGTAATCTTTGTTGAGGAATAGCCTTAGGCCGAATCCATGACCTGTAGCCTTCAAAATCCAAAGAAAATGGCCTTTTGCTACCCTAAAAAATTACGAAAATGGCATCCAAATATAAATTGGCCCAAATCGGTGCTTAATGGACTTATCATCCGCGGAGAATAAGATCAATAGACTTCATTATCGGTGGAGAATAGCCTCGGCCAGAATCCGTGATCTGTAGCCTCGACAATCAAAAGAAAATGACATTTCGGGAAAATCGACAATAATATGTGATGGTACCCCTTTGGAATCTGTTAAAAATTGACCAGGAATAAATCCTCCAAATTTTTTGTTAAAAGGACGTAATCTTTGTTGAATAATAGCCTTCAGGTCGAACCCATTTTCCTCTTCCTCGCTTCCCTTGCCAAAAACTCTCTGAGGCATATTATCAAACACCAAAAATCGATCTTACATAAAAGTAAGATCATGTGAAAAGCAAATGTACAAAGTTGGTGGAGATATCCTTCGGCCAAGTTGGTGGAGAAGATGGTGTCGATTGCAGTTCTGAACTCTCGTAATCTCTCGACGTCGGAATCGGAGATGAGTCCGGTGGTATTCGGGGGAACGTTGAGGAGAAGCACGCAATTCCGGCCGACGGAGTTGTAGTAGATTTCGAGCAATTGGGTGAGGTTTTTGGGGGATTGTGACTTGTGCCAGAACCACCCTGTTCTTATGGAGACGTCGCATTCTGCCGGCACCCAATCTGTTCCTGCCGGGTCTCCGGTGTTTAGATAGCTGCATTGGATCCGTAATTTTTTCAAATTCGCTGCAATTAGAGTTTTAATTATGTTTTTACAGTTGATAAACTCACTCAAGGTTGCTTCCGTTTCCGATGGAGAGCGCCGTCCGGTTGATGGTGGACCAGCAAGTGGTTCCGGCGAACCCATTTTCGTTGCCGACCCATCGGACGTCGGGGCCGATGTTGGAAAAGATATTCGCGGAGCTCTGTAACTCCTTTACCATGGCGAACCAGTCGGTGAAGTCGTATGACATGTTCGGCGCGTTCGAACCTTTTGCTCCGTCGAACCATATCTCCTTCGTTGTTGGTCCGGCGGTCCTGCAATCAATTTTCCTCCGGCGAGAAGTAAATTTCCAATTAATGGCCTCATTGGTCCGTTTATTTGGGTTTTAATACCTATATGTTATTTGATGTTATTGGGTCTTTAATGATCCGTTACAAGTGATTAATGAGTCACTAAAGCGGTCCTTTTATGGCGCTTTACAACCTTTATGGTTGGTTTATATCTCAAATTATGGGATAGAAAGAATTAAATTCTGACGCCCATAATTAATTTCTGACTTTCAGAATTAATTAATTTATGGTGTTCAAAGTATCAGTGGCGCAAGCTCCTCTCCTCTTCGCCGACGAGGCCTACGATTTCAAGAGCTCGATGCGGGACATCTTCGACGAGACCAATCTGGCGGTGGAGGGGCTCCTGGGCCAGGATTTCATGGGCCAGGATTTCATCGGCGGGGATTTTTTTCACCGGCGCGGTCGGGTCGGGCGACAATTTCGGGTTTGGATTCTCCAGCTGGAACCCAGACGAGTGCTTTCAAGACGCTTCGTTTCTGTTTGTTTGCAAGTTTGGAATCCCGGCCAGCTGTGAAGCTCCTCCGGCGACTGGAAACACTTGCCTCCGGTGACTTTGTTGGTCCGGCGGTCCATGCAATCAATTTTCCTCCGGCGAGAAGTAAATAACCAATTAATGGCCTCATTGGTCCATTTATTTGGGTTTTAATACATCAGTTATTTTATTTGATGTTATTGGGTCCTTAATGATCCGTTACAAGTGATTAATGAGTCACTAAAGCGGTCCTTTTATGGCGCTTTACAACCTTTATGGTTGGTTTATATACCAAATTAAGGGATAGAAAGAATTAACTTCTGACGGTCATAATTAATTTTTGACTTTTAGAATTAATTAATTTATGGTTTTCAAAGTACCAGAGGAGTAAACTGTCTAGTTCGCTGCCCGGTTTGCTGGAGAAGACCGGAAAGTCTTGAACATCTGTTCTTCAAATGTCCCTTGGCCACAAGATTGTGGTCGCTCATGGATCTAAATGATTTCATCTCCTCGGCCCCGACTGTGAATTTCAGTCTCTGGTGGCGACATGTTATGCTTTCTGAGCACCCCCAAACCCACATTCTCCTATACGTTTGTGTATTATGGAGGATCTGGAAGTCTAGAAATAAGGTGGTCTTTGAGCATGTCCAGCCTCATGCCCAGTCTCTCGCTCGTCAGTGTTTTTTTTCCTAGTTCGCGAACTGTCTTCCTCCCTTCCTTTGGTCCCTGCTCCGCCCCAGCCTTCCCGTTCTCGCCTCTCGTCTTGGTCCCCTCCTCCTGTTGGCTTTGTGAAGATCAACTTTGATGCTGCTGTTCGTCCTTCTGGGTGCTCGTCTGGTCTTGTGGTGCGCAGTTCAGATGGGCATGTGGCTCTGGCTTTAGGGTCTCTCCATCCCGGTATTGCTGATCCCTATCTTGCGGAGCTCCTAGCAGCTAGGGACGCCATCGCCCTTGTAGTCTCCAAAGTGCTGCCTCGGGTCATCTTAGAAGGAGATTCAGAGGTGGTGATTCGGCAGCTTCGTCAAGGTGCTCTCTCTGACTCCATTGGAGGTCCGGTGCTTCGGGATTGCTCCCTTCTCCTTTCTTCCGTCTCTATTTCTTTAGAGTTTAGGGCAGTTCCTCGGACTGTTAACAGTGCTGCACATAGAGTGGCGCAGAAAGCACTGTTACTCTCCCCTTTAGAGTTTTGCGCCTTTGACTTTGTGGGTTGGCTTCTCTGTTGTATTGGGTTGGGCAGGGTCGGGGTAGATTGTATAGGTTTTCTCTTGACATTTCTTGGAAAAAAAAAATCCATAGAAAATGGCTTTTCGCTGCTCTAAAAATTACGAAAATGTCATCTAAAAATAAATTGACTCAAATCGGTGGGTAATGGATTTATCATTCGTGGAGAATAAGATCAATAGACTTCATTATCAGTGGAGAATAGCCTCGGCCTGAATCCGTGATCTGTAGCCTTGAGAATCAAAAGAAAAAGACATTTCGGGAAATCGGCAAAAATCTGTGATGGTACTCCTTTGGATCTGCTAAAAATAGACTCGATAAAAATCCTCCCAAATTGGTGTTTAATGGACGTAATCGTTGTTGAAGAATAGTCTAAGGCCGAATCCGTGACCTATAGCCTTCAAAAGCGAAAGAAAATGGCCTTTCGCTGCCCTAAAAATTACGAAAATGCCATCCGAAAATTTATTGACCCAAATCGGTGCTTAATGGACTTCTCATCCGCGGAGAATAGGATCAATAGACTTCATTATCGGTGGATAATAGCCTCGGCCTAAATCCGTGATCTGTAGCCTCGAGAATAAAAAGAATTCGGCATTTTGGGAAAATCGTCAAAAATCTGTGATGGTAACCCTTTGAAATCTGTCAAAAATTGATCCGGAATAAATTTTCCCAAATTTTTGGTTAATGGACGTAATCTTTGTTGAAGAATACCCTCAGGTCGAATCCGTGTCATATAGCCTTCAAAATCAAAATAAAATGGCTTTTCGCTGCCCCAAAAATTACGAAAATGTCATCCGAAAATAAATTGGCCAAAATCAGTGCTTAAGTGACTTATCTACCGTGGTGAATTGGATCAATAGACTTCATTATCGGTGGATAATAGCCTCGGCTTGAATCCGTAATCGGTAGCCTCGAGAATCAAAAGAAAATGACATTTCTGGAAAATCGGCAAAAATCTGTGATGGTAGCCCTTTGGAATATGCCAATAATTGACCGGGAATAAATCCTCCCAAATTGGTGTTTAATGGACGTAATCGTTGTTGAAGAATAGTCTCAGGCCGAATCCGTGATCTGTAGCCTTCAAAATCCAAAGAAAATGGCTTTTCGATGCCCAAAAAATTACGAAATTGCCATCTCTATATAAATTGGCCAAAATCAGTGCTTAATGGACTTATCAACCATGGTGAATATGATCAATAGACATCATTATCGGTGGAGAATAGCCTCGGCCTGAATCCGAAATCTGTAGCCTCGAGAATCAAAAGAAAATGGCATTTCGGGAAAATCGCCCAAAATCTGTGATAGTGCCCCAATGGAATCGGTAAAAAATTGACCCAGAATATATCCTCCCAAATTTTTGTTTAATGGACGTAATCTTTGTTCAAGAATAGCCTCAGGCTGATTCCGTGACCTGTACCCTTCAAAATCCAAAGAAAATGGCCTTTTGCTGTCCTAAATATTACGAAAATGCCATCCGAAAATAAATTGGCAAAAATCAGTGCTTTAGTGACTTATCAACCGTGGTGAATAGGATCAATAGACTTCATTATGGGTGGAGAATAGCCTCAGCTAGAATCTGTAATCTGTAGCTTCGAGAATCAAAAGACAATGACATTTAGGGAAAATCAGCAAAAGTCTATGATGGTACCCCCTTCGGAATCTGCCAAAAATTGACCCGGAATAAATCCTCTCAAATTGGTGTTTAATGGACATAATCATTGTTGAAGAATAGTCTCAGGCCGAATCCGTGATCTGTAGCCTTCAAAATCCAAAGAAAATGGCTTTTCGATGCCCTAAAAATTACGAAAATGCCATCCAAAAATAAATTGACCCAAATCGGTGGTTAATGGATTTATCATTCGTGGATAATAAGATCAAAAGACCTCATTATCGGTGGACAATAGCCTCGGCCTGAATCTGTGATCTGTAGCCTCGAGAATCATAATAAAATGGCATTTCGGGAAAATTGCCCAAAATCTCTTATCGTACCCCTTTGGAATCGGTCAAAAATTGACACGGAATAAATCCTCCCAAATTTGTGTTTACTAGACGTAATCTTTTTTGAAGAATAGTCTAAGGCCGAATCCGTGACCTATAGCCTTCAAAATCCAAAGAAAATGTCCTTTCGCTGCCCCAAAAATTACGAAAATATCATCCGAAAATAAATTGGCTCAAATCGGTGCTTAAGTGACTTGACTTATCTACCGTGGTGAATTGGATCAATAGACTTCATTATCGGTAGAGAATAGCCTCGGCTTGAATCCGTAATCTGTAGCCTCGAGAATCAAAAGGAAATGACATTTCTGGAAAATCGGCAAAAATCGGTGATGGTACCTCTTTGGAATCTGCCAAAAATTGACCCGGAACAAATCCTCCCAAATTGGTGTTTAATGGACGTAATCGTCGTTGAAGAATAGTCTCAGGCCGAATCCGTGATCTGTAGCCTTCAAAATCCAAAGAAAATGGCTTTTCAATGCCCAAAAAATTACGAAAATGCCATCTGTAAATAAATTGGCCAAAATCAGTGCTTAATGGACTTATCAACCATGGTGAATATGATCAATAGACATCATTAACGGTGGAGAATAGCCTCGTCCTGAATCCGTGATCTGTAGCCTTAAGAATCAAAAGAAAATAACATTTCGGGAAAATCGCCCAAAATCTGTGATGGTACCCCTTTGGAATCGGTAAAAATTGACCCGGAATATATCCTCCCAAATTTTTGTTTAATGGACGTAATCGTTGTTCAAGAATAGCCTCAGGCTGAATCCGTGACCTGTAGCCTTCAAAATCCAAAGAAAATGGCCTTTTGCTGTCCTAAATATTACGAACATGCCATCCGAAAATAAATTGACCCAAATCGGTGGTTAATGGATTTATCATTCGTAGAGAATAAGATCAATAGACTTCATTATCGGTGGAGAATAGCCTCGGCCTGAATCCGTGATCTGTATCCATGAGAATCAAAAGAAAATGACATTTCGGGAAATCGGCAAAAATCTGTGATGGTATCCCTTTGGAATCTGCCAAAAATTGACCCGGTATAAATCCTCCCAACTTATTGTTTAATGGACCTAATCGTTGTTGAAGAATAGTCTCAGGCCGAATCCGTGACCTATGGCCTTCAAAATCCAAAGAAATGGCCTTTCGTTGCACTAAAAATTACGAAAATGCCATCCAAAAATAAATAGACCCAAATCAGTGCTTAATGGACTTATCATCCGCGGAGAATAGGATCAATAGACTTCATTAT